ACACGGCCGATTGATTTCATAGCCTTCGTGAAAGGCCAAATGATGTTCTTTGTCGCATTCGCACAAGAAAAACAACCGATAGGACTGATTAAACAGATTAGCGGGATTGAATCGGCTTTGATCATCTGGTAAAATAATAAATAGACGTGGCATCGTAAATTCAGCCAACTCATATGCTTGTCGAAGAATAGCATCAGCTTTTGCGATGAGCAACGTCGTATTATCAAGTGTCTTTTGAGTGGTATCAATGATGCGTCTTATATCGGTTCGTATATCGTCATCGACATCATTCTCGCATTCGTCACAGTCAATAATCTGATCAACGTGAGCTCGGATGCGCTTTGGTTCGAGCCAAAAAAGTTTTAAGTCACGCATAAAACTCAATGGTTCACCATCCAATGTAAATCCAAGGATGTGACGACCAAACTTGTGCTGAACATCTTCTAACATCACGAAAAGATCTCCATCAATTGACACTGTTGGAACTTTTAGTTCTTTGTCTTTGTAGCGAAAACATTGAGATGCCATGCCGATGATTGGTGAAAGAAGGGTATGAAGAGAAATAGAAATACACACTTGTTATTTGTCACTCTCGACTCGTGTGAAATGAGTGACGCTTCCTTTTTTTTTAACTATCGTGATAAATCGATCATGCGCTTCTACCTTTATATTGTAACTAAACATCGTCAATTTTATAAACTATTCACGCAAAAATTAAAAACCAGAGACCGAAACCAGTAAAAAAACATGTGACACGGCTCGTCTCGACTTGAGTCAAGATGAGTTGCTGAATCATCATCCCGGTTTAGATCTCTAATAAATTTACCTGCTATCATAGTATTCTCGGGTCACCAAGTTTTCGTTTACAAAATTTAGTAGAGAGTGTCAACACTGTTTTTTTTCTTCTCACAATTCACACGTAACCATGTGACGAGTCAGTCGTTCTTTTCCACGAGAACGGAACGCTTTAGTGTAGAAACAAACAGACACGGTTGATTAATAACAAATTTTCATTTCGAATATAATCGTGACGAATATCTACTCATTACATCTAGTTGGAAATTCAATGTCAATTAATCACACTCGGCACCTATTGCCGTCATCAACACATGTTTGCACACTAAATTTAAATGTGTCTTGTTTATGTGTCGTGAATTATTGTGTCGCACACTCCAGCAGAAAAATGTGTCGTGCTTAGAATGTGTCGTATACGAATTTGTCGCGTTCTGTTTGCTGACTATTCGTTCACCATTTTATTATGCACACTTGGTGATATATAAACAACGTGGTTGAACATAGAAAAAAACTTCCAATTATTTTTATTTTCTAGATTATTTCTCGATTATTTTTTTTATCGAGAAAATGCCAATCTCGATCCATGATCGTGAGAGGACTACTCTGAAGCGGTCTGATACAAATCAGATCAACTCGAGATTGGACAGATCCCAGGATCTGACCAGATTGAGTCTTCAGCATAGGAATAATTAAATGGAATTAAATTGAAAAAGAATCAAAATATGATTTTCCAAAAGGACCAATAGGAAATGTGTCGTACATAATGTGTCGTACATAATGTGTCGTGGTCCTGCTGGAGAAAATGTGTCGCAGTGAGCTCCTCGTGTCGCACTTTAATGTGTTGTACAATGTGTCGCAAAACACGACACATGCGACACATTTTAACTTAGTGTGTGTGACAGATCACAATTATGAGGGTGTGGGTGCGTGTGGGCGTGAGTGTGACTGTTACGCCGATGCACCTACTTGTAATCACACCCACACACATATCCACATTCACACACACATTCGCACCCCCCCCCCCCCCCTCCCACACATACATCCGTATCCACACCCACACTCTATCTAAGGATGTCTATATTAACGCCGTAAAAGTTTATTCTACTCCAAGATTTTAGTATCAATGTAGTACACTGTAGTATATTGGTATCAGTGCCAGACAGAATTATTGAAACTAAGCGGAAATTTATATACTATAAACACATTTTTCATACTCAGCACTGCACAGCTAAGAAGTTATAAATGACAGCTTTGGTATATACTCGAATAAAACAGAAGGACCACGTGTTCACTTTTCCCATTTGGGAAACTGCATCATTGATATGCCAGAGCATAACAGGACCAACAGCCAGTGTGTCAGAAAACTTAATATGCCATTTTAGATGGTAAGATCTCTATCAGTAGGGGCATCGGCATGTTCACATCGACTTTCGAAGCAAGCTTGGAAGATGGAATAAATTTCCGTCATATATTTCAAAACTCATTGACACTCTGGTTTTACAAAAGCAATTCAATGCTGAAACAGAATCTTCAAGTGATTTCTGTAGTGATTTTGAAATAGATGGATGTGGATGTGAGTGTGGGTATGGGGTGTGGATGTAGGTGTGGGATGTGAGTGTGGAGTGTGAGTGTGGGTGGGTGTGTGTCTTGTTTTTATCCATACGCACACGCGTACCCACTCCCAAACCTACACCCATACCCACACCAACACCCACGTTCACACCCACACCAACACCCACATTCACACCCACACCCACAGCAACATCCACGTTAATACCCACACCCACACCCATCTTCTGCGAGAAATGAGGGTGCATCTTCAAAATTTGGAATAGGTGACACTACTTCGTATGTCGTACAATTATTAAATTTATTAAATAATGTTATTGTTTTTTTTTTGTTTGACAGAAATCATTGGATACATTGTTACACAAGAGATCAAATACTATTATTGATACTACTTCATTATCTTCTGAAGTATCTGTTCAATTATCAATTCATTCACTCAATGAATCATTAACTAGTCATAAAGAAAAAATAAAATCGAGTGGTAAGTGTTTAGTTCGACTTAAACAAATAATCAATTAAATTTGAAAAATATATGAAAAATTATTACAAAGAAATTGTTTTGCTTTTGTAAGAAATTTAATTTAAATAAACATGGGACAAATACTAGTTGGCACCATTAAGTAAACGTAAACTTAGTTTATATTCTTTGAAATAGTTGTGAATACAAATCACTGTAGAGTCCGAAATGATTTTCTCAAAAATTTACATTTAACAGAAATCGCAAAAATTTATAACATTTGTAAATGGGGTCGAGATTTATAAATCGGTTTATAAATGTCGACCCTATTTATTACATTGGAACCCATTTATAAATCTAGCGTTGGTTTGTAAGGTGAATCGAGAATATTCAACTAAATCTAGCAGTATGTGAAGTCGAGCTGATATTCAAGACATTGGAAATTTTAACTTAAGCAAGCCACCATTGCTGACATAATAAAACGGTTTTGCACACATTGTCCATCATGTAGAACAGAGATCCCTGTATTTTACATTCCGATCACATCGAATGCTTCTCCGTCTTATTCTGTGTGATCTTCCTTACCTTTCTTCATTCACTAAAGGATCCGAAACGATATTCGTTTTCCAAAATTTTATCATTTATCACAAATTACAAAAATTTCAGAGTTTTGACCGATTTGGTCGACATTTATAAATCGCTTAAACGTTTATAAACTGTGAATGGGTTTATAAATAAGCGATATTTCTAAATTAATTTGGTGTTTATAAATAGGCCAGATTTATAAATACATACAATGTTTCTTAATTTTTTAAATTTTTGATAAAAAAATTTACGATTTATAAATAGATTTATTTATGTTGATTAATAAATCAACCTATTTCGGACTCTTCAGTGATACAAATGCACTTTAAACAACATGCTAATTGAATGTGACGGTGTGCTTATAAAGTGTATTAAGGCCGATGTATTGCGACTGAGATGTTGTTTTGTAAAGTTGATTCATTAAACAAAGCTGTTGTCGAACGTAATTTGTTTCCTTTATACAAAGTTTAATTTAAAAATTCAGATGAACTAAATAGATATCATTTTATGTAAAAGAAAGTTGCAAAATTTAGTGGTTTAAATACTTGTAAAAGAAATAATGTAATGTACATAAGAAATAAGATTAAAATGATTAAAACATTTTTCTTTGAATTTGTTTAATGATTTTGCTTTCGATGAGTATCATATCTATATGTCAGATGATCTCCTGAAATTGAATTTTTAATTCGATCTTTTCTAAACATTTTGATATTGAGAAAAGACCGTTGAAGATATTCAAATTATTTCAAAATCGGTTTATGAATCGCCAAATGTATTTTCTTCTTCAGTTATTATTACATACACTGCTATTAGCTTATATTCCAGCTATAAAAAGGAGAAAGAAACCATCTGATACAAGTCGATTAAGAGCCCTAATTAGTATTAAAAACGAAACGAAACAAGATTCCATGTTTTAAAGATAGTTTTATTTCTATCTATGAAAAATAAATAAAATATTCATTCATGTTTATTGTTTTTCACATTCTAACCAACAGATATCGGACTGTCTATTTAATTTAGGTCAATTAATATTGGCAACTATTTTGAACATTGCGCATAAATTGATGGTTAACATAAGTACACATGATAAGGAAGATTAATCATGTGATGTTAAATTTGTTCTTTGTATCGCTGGAGATTCATTTCGATTTTTTTGTTAATCCATATTATTTTGCTGTTTTTGTTTCATTTGGCAGTCTAAGAACAAATAATGCCAATGTTCTATTTAAACATAAAATTGCTCATCGATATCTTGTGATGTCTATCGACCAAAAAATAAAAGAATTTTTCTTAGTTACATCCGAATAATAAAAATCTGTCCCTTCTATCTTCCTATTATATTTAATTATTTGCTTGTGATTACATGTCTTCGGAGAATATCTCCGGAAACTCGATTATGTCCTAGGGGTAAGAGGTAGATAGATATATAGGTATAGGAGGTATAGGAGGTATATTCATGCTTATATATACAGATGTTAATCTCTTTGGTGCTTCATAATTGATATGTGTTATTTGAAGTATAGACGATTTTTGTAATCGTTTTAAACGCCAGGTACAATCAATTGAATATAAGAATATATGTTTTGCGTTTCAGATGTCTGATCCTAACAAATTATTCGAAGTTCTGGCATCGTGTATTGGACCGACGCCGTTACCATATGCATGTCGAATGTATATCAATCGTTCGATCCTTCCACCATCGATTTTATCATCTGAACCACTTATACAAGTTATTCAAACTGCTGTAAATGAACGTTTTCAAAATCAATTTACCATTGATCAAATTGGGATATTAACAAATCTTATCGCTATGAATATTTCGTTTGTTCGTAATGTTTTTTTCAGGCATGATTTAGCCTATAATAGCGTCGGTATGGGTGTGGGTAAACAGGTGATTCAAACCCACACCCACACCTACACCCACGCCCACGCCCACCCCACAACCACCACACCCACACTCATCCACACCCACACCACCCTTAACTTATCTATTAAATGTGCTGATACATTATATTTTACATACACTATAATATAGATGTATGAGTTGG